CGTGCCTTTAATCCTCGAACTTCTCTGGCTTTATGTCCAATGTTGGCTAAAACTATTCCTGTCAAATGTGACTCCCTCCACCAGTGGATGCTGACCAGAGTTAGCTGGAAACTGGGAGGGGTGATGATGGGGGCGGGGATGTCCACCAAAAAGGAATGCCATTTTCGACAGGCCATTTTTGCCAAAACAAGATTCCCGGTTGCTAATGAGAAGCGCCAACTCCTTTTTCCCCACTATATTTTCCACCCACAACGAATCAGTTTTGTTCAAAACCCGATTTTCCCCTCCCAGTATAGTTCTGACAGAACATTGCCAATGGATCTTCATTGGAGCCACCCTGGGAGCTGGCTAAACGGCAGAGGCAGAGATGCCACCGATACAGATACTCGCTAACCTAAGCCCTGGCTAAAAGAAAACCCGGAGCTTCATCACCTCATTTATTTGTACTTCTCTGTGCGGTTGCTGAGGCCGGCTTCCCGGAAGCCCCTTGTAGAAACCAGCTACAACAAAAAGCACGTAAACCATGTCGTGAATCACGCCCGCTGAAGTCACCGAGTCTGCAAGCATGCAGCGGAGGACATGACTTGGTCCAGAGGCTGAACATTTAAGGTAGCATGGCCTAGTGGACAGAGCACCGAACTGGGGACAGGCGATCAGGGCTCGGTTCCTGGCTCTTTGGCAAGTTACAGCTCTGCTCTGTGCCTCAATTTCCCCCATCTGTGCAGTGGGGATGATGTTCCTGGCCTCCTTTGTAAAGAGCTTTGAGATTTATTCACAAAAAGAGCTGAATAAGGGACAAATAGAAGCTAAATGTTCAGCTTCAAACCCGCACCAGATTGATCCTGTTTTCACTCCAGCTTCACCTGGGGCTTTTCCACCTGCAGCCGACTTACCCCGGCCCAGTTTTGACACCTTCCATTTTCTTCCTTTTCCTTCTCCAAGAAACTAAAGGTGGAAATTCACCTTTGTAGGACTTGTAAAAATCGGTAAACCTGCACTGGCAGGTCTGTGTGTGTCTCCCATTGGGGATCTGAAAGAGAGGGGTGTGGGAAGCTATGGGGGAATGGAGTTTATACGTCAGCAGAGTCTGTGATGGAAGAAGGCTCTGTCATTAAACACTCTTACTGAACAGCATAGCACAAAATGCACTGACTGGAGAACTCTTGCTTCTCGGCCAGGAAGTTGTCCTGGGAAAATGAGTATCTGACTTCCCAGCCCTGTAGCAGAACACCCCGACGCCAGGTGTCCAGACAGCATGAGTGAAGCTCAAAAAAATCCTGAGATTGGTTTAAAGATCATGAATTTTTTTTAAAAAAATTAACCCTGGGTTCTTTTTCTTTGCTGGTTGCTTTCCAAGCTTTTGGGGGGCACGTTTCTAAGGTTTCCTCCACATTATCCAGAGACAAGCAGCTTCCTTTTTAAAAACATGAAACCCGAGAGTCTCACTGAATCCCATGACTCCGGGAGCTGGAGCTTTAAGAGAAATCCCAACTCTCGCGTCGAGACTCAGGAATGGCACTGCCAGCATCTGATGCAAAACCCTTAGGGATGTCCCCAGGGAAATGGAGCCCCTGTTACCTGGCCCTGCTGGGTAGGCAGCCAGGTCAAGGTGCTGAGTTTGCACCTCCTTGATACAAAAAAAGATGTCAAGGTGCATGAAAATTGTTGGTGAAAACCTAACAGCTGGTGAGAGAAGTTAGGTGGGGGGAGGCAGATTGGGGGAGCAAAGGACTTGAACATCTGAAACTCCAGGGCTAGTCCTTCCATGCCATGGGCAAAGCTCCCAGGAGCAGGGTATGGCGAGGGGTGAACTTCCAGAAAGCAGGACTGGACAAGGAGGAAGAGGAATTGCTTCGCCCTTGGTGGTCGAATCACGGACCTTTCCCTTCCCATCTTTAAAGTCTGCACCACCAGCCTCCAAGAGGAATGCACCCAGCAGATCTTACTCCTCTCTTCAGCAGGGTGGAAAGGAAAAATGTGCCCGGCTAGCTGTCTAAATTGCCCTTAGATTGTCCGCTCCTGAGGGCAGGGAGTGGCCTGGTGTGTGTCTGTACAGCACCTAGCGCCATGGGGGTCTGGGGATATTAGGCACCACTCACAACAGATAATAAATAACTACCCCAGGAGGCTGCCACTGGCCAGTCAGCCTAGAGGGACGGTACACCTCGGCCGTGCAGATCCCTGCCGGGGGAAGTCAGCAGACACTACCGTGCCCATGGCCTGAAGGCAGGTTACAGAGACCCTGGGCCGGGAGCACCTCCAGCACCCGTCTCGGCCTGGCCTGGAGAAGGAGCGTGAATCCTTGAGAGCCAGAAGATGCAACTTCTCCACCCCTGGCAACAAGGGAGGAGGGATTTAGCAGCAAACAGGCCACCCTGGGGAGCTGGTGGGGAATGGCCTGAAGGCAACGGAGCCGTGTCCGGTTACACCAGCCAGGCTGGGCTTTGGGTGTGTGTGTGTCCCGGTTACATCAGCCAGGGTGGGGTGTGTGTGTGTGTGTGTGTGTGTGTGTGTGTGTGTGTGTGTGTCCCCCCTGGCAACAAGGGAGGAGGGATTTAGCAGCAAACAGGCCACCCTGGGGAGCTGGTGGGGAATGGCCTGAAGGCAACGGAGCCGTGTCCGGTTACACCAGCCAGGCTGGGCTTTGGGTGTGTGTGTGTCCCGGTTACATCAGCCAGGGTGGGGTGTGTGTGTGTGTGTGTGTGTGTGTGTGTGTGTGTGTGTGTGTCCCCCGGTTACATTGCTGGGGTGGGGTGTGTGTGTGTGTGTGTGTGTGTATGTCCCGGTTACACCAGCCAGGCTGGGCTTTGTGTATGTGTGTGAGTGTGTGTGTGTCCCGGTTACACCAGCCAGGCGGGGCTTTGTGTGTGTGTGTCCCAGTTACACTAGCCAGGCTGAGGTGTGTGTGTGTGTGTGTCCCGGTTACCCCAGCCAGGCTGGGCTTTGGGTGGGTGGGTGTGTGTGTGTGTGTCCCGGTTACCCCAGCCAGGCTGGGCTTTGGGTGGGTGGGTGTGTGTGTGTGTGTCCCGGTTACCCCAGCCAGGCTGGGCTTTGGGTGGGTGGGTGTGTGTGTGTGTGTCCCGGTTACCCCAGCCAGGCTGGGCTTTGGGTGGGTGGGTGTGTGTGTGTGTGTCCCGGTTACCCCAGCCAGGCTGGGCTTTGGGTGGGTGGGTGTGTGTGTGTGTGTCCCGGTTACCCCAGCCAGGCTGGGCTTTGGGTGGGTGGGTGTGTGTGTGTGTGTCCCGGTTACCCCAGCCAGGCTGGGCTTTGGGTGGGTGGGTGTGTGTGTGTGTGTCCCGGTTACCCCAGCCAGGCTGGGCTTTGGGTGGGTGGGTGTGTGTGTGTGTGTCCCGGTTACCCCAGCCAGGCTGGGCTTTGGGTGGGTGGGTGTGTGTGTGTGTGTCCCGGTTACCCCAGCCAGGCTGGGCTTTGGGTGGGTGGGTGTGTGTGTGTGTGTCCCGGTTACCCCAGCCAGGCTGGGCTTTGGGTGGGTGGGTGTGTGTGTGTGTGTCCCGGTTACCCCAGCCAGGCTGGGCTTTGGGTGGGTGGGTGTGTGTGTGTGTGTCCCGGTTACCCCAGCCAGGCTGGGCTTTGGGTGGGTGGGTGTGTGTGTGTGTGTCCCGGTTACCCCAGCCAGGCTGGGCTTTGGGTGGGTGGGTGTGTGTGTGTGTGTCCCGGTTACCCCAGCCAGGCTGGGCTTTGGGTGGGTGGGTGTGTGTGTGTGTGTCCCGGTTACCCCAGCCAGGCTGGGCTTTGGGTGGGTGGGTGTGTGTGTGTGTGTCCCGGTTACCCCAGCCAGGCTGGGCTTTGGGTGGGTGGGTGTGTGTGTGTGTGTCCCGGTTACCCCAGCCAGGCTGGGCTTTGGGTGGGTGGGTGTGTGTGTGTGTGTCCCGGTTACCCCAGCCAGGCTGGGCTTTGGGTGGGTGGGTGTGTGTGTGTGTGTCCCGGTTACCCCAGCCAGGCTGGGCTTTGGGTGGGTGGGTGTGTGTGTGTGTGTCCCGGTTACCCCAGCCAGGCTGGGCTTTGGGTGGGTGGGTGTGTGTGTGTGTGTGTCCGTCCGTCCATCTGTCCTCAGGGCTGGAAGCATCATCAGTGTCAGTCCGCACACCCTCCACGCGGCCACGCTGGTGTGGCCAAGAGCCCTGCCCCGTGAGACCCACCTCCAGCCATCGCCTGCTCCAAGCCGGAGGCCGTCACTCCTAGTGGGGGCAAGCAGCAGCAATCCCCCCACCCTCCCACAGGTTGGATCCTCAGCGGGAGGAAGTCACAATGTGGCTGAGCTCGATGGAGCTCTGAGCTGTTGAGTCCAGGGGGGTGACTCCGACCAGCGAAGGATCTGTCTGTGCCTTGGCTGGAGGAGGGGAAAAAGATCCCCAAGTGCCTTCGACCCCGGCATTTCCCAGCGAAGGGAGGAGACCCCGGTGTCCAAGGAACCACCCAGCCCTCCGCTGTCCGGACCCAAAGAAGCAGGACTTTTTTTCCAGCCAGTGAGCGGTCTCAGTCCATGGATTGTCTCAGGGGCTTTGCCCGTTAGCGACAGCACGGACTGTTCTAGGCACCCGTCACTCCGCACCCCAAAACCGTCGCCGACAGCGTGGGCTCCGGGCTCGCGGAGCGTCCCAGGTTTCCCCCCTCGCTTAGACTCTCAGCCGCAGCTCAAAGGCCCAGTCCCCATCTCCTCAAACCATTCGTCAGCTTCTAGCTCTCCCGTCCCTACCAAAGTCTGCCCCAAGCCCCGGCACTCCGGATGGGGGGGGGCCAGAAGGGACGCAGAGGGTGCGGTCGGGGGCCCTTCCCCCACCAGGAGGGATGAAAACCAGCAGCGCACACAGATCAGCTCCAATCCCGGAGAGCGGAAGGGGTGTCAGTGCTGGGGGCCCTGGGGATCCGGACCTCCAGGGAGGCCAGTGACGGGACCAGACGGTCCATGGCGTGGCCCTTACGGGACGGAGAATCGCTACCGGCTCTTCTGTACAATTGATGCTGGGGCTGCCCGGCTCTCAGAGGCCCGGCGCCCCGTTCAAGTGGCAGCAGTTCCGGGCATAGCTCTGGTCTTTCCGTGGGGCGACGGCAGGCCCGGGGCTGCCGTTGGCGGCCAGGGGGAAGCGCAGGGCAGCCAGCGCGGAGTGGGGCTCCCCCTCCAAGAGGGGGGCCGTCTCTCGCTTGTTCTCGGCGCTGTAGAAGAAGGAGAGGCGGCGGAAGCTGGGGTTCATGTCGTCCTTGCAGCTCTCCAGCAGCTGGGTGAAACTGGGGCGCTGGCGGGGGTTCTGCTGCCAGCACCAGCTCCTCAGCTCATGGCTGGGGGGAGAGGAGGGAGGCAGGTTTCAGTCGGACGGGGGATCAGCCCTTCCTCCTCCTGCTTTCAGGCCAGGGGCAGGTTCCTGACTTAGCACCCGTGGGACTGAGGCCCTCCGCCCCCAGCACCACCCTGCCTGTAAACCTACTGTGGGGAAGGGAGTCTCCCCGAGAGCCTCGGACTCTCTCTTGAGGCTGCCCGCCGGG